AAAATATTTAGGTGGCGACTCTGTATCTGGCTAAGCAGTCCATGTTTGGCACTTCTTTCTAAAAATCAGTTTTTCAAAATGATTTGCCGGATTTGGACTCTTTGGTGATTTATCGATCTTGCATTGCACTTTGTGAGATTAGATTCAGAACCGTGACATGGAGTCCGAACTGTAGTGAGCCCAATGAACAAAACAGGATTTTCCCGGGACGTTCGGGCACGTCTACATTGCTGATGTTTTTTTCCAAGTCCATGCCTACTATTGGGGTTTGCTCTTCACTATCTGACTACCCCAAGTTTTTACTTGTTAATGAGTCCTCGCTGGGAACAGCATGGTTTGCCCCTTCCTTCCTGTCTTCAATCCTGTATGGCTTGGAATGTAGCTGGGCATCTTGTTTTGGGGGCTGCGCAGCTTCTACGGCATTTTTTACCCCAATTTCGGTTGTCTTGGTCAAATCAACTGGGCAGATGTGATGACTTCCTGGTGTAAACTCAGCCACAAAGTCTGCTAAAACTTGGGCTTTTATTGCAGTTTTGGGTTGAAACTTGATGTCGTACTGCCCTAATTCCACCGCCCACTTCAAAATTCGTCCAGAGAAATCTGCCCTCTCGAACAAAGTTTTTAGGAGAAAAACTGTTAAGACGATTACCGTGTGGGTATGGAAATAATGCGACAACTTCCTTGAAGCCATCATCAAGGCTAAGGCCAGTTTTTCCAATGGTAGGTACTTTGTTTCAACATCCAGCAAGGTTTTGCTAACATAAAAGATAGGTAGGCGTTGGATTCCTTCCGCTATGACCAACACCGCGCTGACTGTATGCTGTGAAACTTCCAGGTACAAAAAGAGCTCTTCTCCTGGCACTAGGGTTACTAACAGTGGAGGAGAGGTCATGTAGTCCTTCAAGCTCTCTAAGGCATGGTCGCATTCTTCATCCCACTCAAATAGAGTCCTCCTAGGAATCACATCTCTAAGAGATAATGCTTATCACTTAACACCCTTCTTACTGCTTTAACCAAGTGAAATGGTTTTACCTCGGTAGTATGACAAAACGACTGAGCTAACACCACCATGCTTAAGCGGTAGATTTAACCGAGCTTCACCTAGCTCGGTTCTACCTTTCTTTTTCAATTCAGCTTCCTGTACCTCAGTTTAGCATACTCCAACCGGGCTATCTTAGTCATTTATGACCGAGCTAACTAGGCCCAATGGCAAAGCCCATTTCACTCAGCCCACAGCTCGGCTCACCTCTACCCGGTCCTAGCTCGGCCCAGATTTACACATTTTACCCTCTCAACATACAAATTTCCTATCCTGCAATAAAGATGCGAAAAGTAATAGAAACATTTAATTTTATTAATTGTAATAAAGTAGATACAATTTTCTATAATTTGTTCTATTACAAAAGAATAGATTATCCGATTCAATTTTGGAATTGTTGCAATTCAACGGTTGTAAAAGCTTGTTGCTAAACTAAAGGAGTTGATGAATTTTTTCAAATCTTTAAATAGAGAAGCTTGAGGAAATAATGCTTGGTTGAGAGTTTGAATGACTTGATTTCGAATAATCTTTACAAATGATCTTGAAAGAATAAATCAAACTTGCAATTTCTTTACACATAGGGGTTGTTTATTTCATTGGATTGAGGTGTGAGATTAAATTCCATGTCTAATAAATTTACTTATCCATCGTTTAGTTAGTTTAATGAAGGTCAGACTAATAGTCAAATTGTAACACCCCGTATTTTTGAAATATTAATATTTCAAAAATACGGGGTGTTACAATCTATCCCCCTTAAAAATAATTTCGTCCTCGAAATTAATTCGTACCTTTAGACTCGAAAAGTTGAGGATAATTGACACGTATCATATCTTCTCGCTCCCACGTTGACTCTTCCGTCCCACAATGTCTCCAGAGAACTCGAACCAATGGTATAGTTTTACCTCGTAATTTCTTCTCGCGACGATCTAAAATCTTGACAGGCTTTTCTTCAATTGTCACGTCTTCATCAAGATTAATCTCCTCCCAATTGATGATGTGAGAAGGGTGTGGCTCGTATTTCCGTAGCATAGAGACGTGGAAAACATTATGTACTCCAGCCAGTTAAGGCGGTAGAGCCAAACGGTACGCCACTTCTCTTATTTTGTCCAAAATTTCAAAAGGTCCAATGAAGCGAGGTGACAACTTTCCCTTCTTTCCGAAACGAACTCCTCGACGAGGCTATATTTTCAGAAACACATGATCTCCAACTTTAGATGCTAAAGGTCTTCTCCTTTTATCTGCATAGCTTTTCTGCCTACTCTGAGCGGTCTCGAGCCTCTGCCTAATTAGTTTCACCTTCTCGGTAGTTTCTTGAACTAATTCTGGCCCTAAAAGAGGTGCCTCTCCGACTTCGGTCTAACATTTTGGTGATCGGCAAGGCCGTCCGTACAAAGCTTCATACGGTGCCATACCAATACTTGCTTGAAAACTGTTATTGTAAGAGAATTCGACTAGTGGTAAGTGTTTCTCCCAATTACCTTTAAAGTCCATCACACAAGCTCGAAGCATGTCTTCTAAAGTCTGAATTGTTCTTTCTGATTGACCGTCAGTTTGAGGGTGAAAAGCTGTACTAAAACACAACTCTGTACCCAAGGCCCTTTGCAGACTTTGCCAGAACTGTGACGTAAAACGAGAATCACGATCTGACACTATTGAGACTGGTACTCCATGCAATCTAATGATTTCTCGAATAAATAATCGGCTTAAAGATTCGAGTGTGCCTGTTGGACCTATTGGTAGGAAATGTGCCGTCTTAGTTAATCGATCAACCACCACCCAAATGGCATCATGGCCTTGCGGCGACCGGGATAATCCTGTTACAAAATCCATTGTTATGTGTTCCCATTTCCACTTAGGTATTGGTAAAGGTTGGAGTTTCCCTGCCGGCTTTTGCTGTTCTGCCTTCACTTGCTGACACGTCAAGCACTTAGATACGAATTGAGCAACGCCCTTCTTCATTCCACTCCACCAATACTGTCGCTTAAGATCCTGGTACATCTTGTTTCCTCCCGGATGAATCGCAAAAACTGAATGGTGAAATTCTTTAAGTACTTCGTCTCTTAATTGTTTGATGTTTGGCACAAAAATTCTACCTAAATACCTTAAACTACCATCTTGATGGAGTGTCCAATCCGGTGAAGATTCCTTGGTCACTAATCGGGCCTTGATGAAGTCGGTCTCCTGATCAAATCTTTGGGCTTCCAACACTTTGGTAAGAAGTTGGGGTGTTGTAACTATTGTAAACAACCTACCCTTCCCATTCTGAGTCTCTGGTTGTAACTTAAACTCATTCATAGTGCTTACCATTTCCCATTCTTTAATTGATATGCTGGCTACAATCTCTCTTGTCTTTCGACTTAGTGCATCTGTTACAACATTAGCCTTCCCGGGATGATAAGATATGGTGAATTGGTAATCTTCAAGGTACTCCATCCAGTGTCTCTGTCTCATGTTCAAATCTCTTTGGGTGAACAAGTACTTCAAGCTTTTATGATCGGTAAATATCTTAAATTTTTCGCCATAAAGGTAATGTCGCCAAGTCTTAAGTGCATAGACCACAGCCGCCAACTCCAGATCGTGAGTAGGATAATTTTTCTCATGGTTCTTCAATTGTCTTGATCTGTAAGCTACTACCTTCCCGTTTTGCATTAACACACTACCTAACCCTTCCTTAGAGGCATCACAATAAACAGTGTACCCAACGTCACGTTCGGGTATGACTAATATAGGAGCACTTGTCAGTCTCTTCTTGAGTTCTTGAAATGACTGTTCACACGCTTCGTTCCATTCAAACTTTACTCCTTTTTGCGTTAGGCGTGTCATCGACTTGGCTAATTTGGAGAAATCCTGAATGAATCACCTATAATAACCTGCTAATCCCAAGAAACTACGAATCTCAAACGTATTCTTAGGTTGTTTCCACCCCATTACTGCTTCTACTTTAGCAGGATCCACTGATATCCCTGATTCAGACACAATATGACCTAAGAACTTTACTTCCTTCAACCAAAATTCACATTTGCTAGCTTTAGCATACAATTGGTTTTCTTTTAGAATTTGCAAAATGGTTCTCAGATGTTGCTCGTGGTCTTCCTCCGATCGTGAGTATATCAAAATATCATCAATGAATACTACCACAAATTGGTCTAAATAGGGGGTAAAAATTTTGTTCATTAAACTCATGAATACCCCAGGAGCATTTGTCAAACCAAATGGCATTACCACAAACTCATAGTGGCCATAACGGGTTCGAAATGCAGTTTTGGGTATATCTTCTCCTCTGACACGAAGTTGGTGGTATCCCGACCTAAGGTCAATTTTGGAAAAACATTTTGAACCTCTTAATTGATCGAACAAGTCATCAATTCTGGGTAAGGGATATCGATTTTTAATGGTGGCTTGATTTAGTTGTCGTTAATCGATGCACAATCTTAAGGTTCCGTCCTTCTTCTTCGCAAATAATGTTGGCGCTCCCCAAGGGGACGTACTTGGTCTGATGAACTTCTTACTCAACAGTTCTTGCAACTGCTCCTTCAATTCTCGAAGTTCAGCTAGCGCCATACGATGTGGTGCTATTGAAATCGGTGAAGTCCCGGGTTGAAGCTCAATCGTGAAATCTACAACTCGTTTTGGGGGTAATCCTGGTAATTCGTCAGGGAAAACGTCAGCGTACTCACACACCACATGGGGTAATCCTGGATCCTCTCGAGTTTCGTCTTCCAAAATTAGGCTTGCCAACCATCCGTTTAGTTGATCATGCCATCGCGACTTGCGACACATTGGAGTTAGAGAATCTATCTCCTTTAAATTGAACTTTCGTGCCGTTAAGGGGGGATACTGTCACTGTCTTACAGTAACAATCAATAATGGCTCGATGAACTGACAACCAATCCATTCCTAAGATGACGTCAAAATCAGACATATCCATAACTCTTAGAACCAAGATCAAAACAAATCGGAGATGATAGCAAAATTTGAAAAGCTACGTCCCCACAAGTTCCTTGGTGGACCAAACCCCCATGAAGCTGAAGCTTGGTTAAGACAAATTAAGAAGTTGCTAGATACTTCCGACATCCGAAATGAACAAGATAGAGTGACCATGGCGGCATTTCAAATGGAAGGGAAAGCAGATCATTGGTGGGAAATGATCAAAAGTACTCGACAAGTAGAGACATTAACTTGGAGACAGTTCGAAGACCTGTTCATGGAAAAGTATTTTCCTAACTCGTTAAGACAAGAAATGATTCAAGAGTTCCTTCAACTGAAACAAGGAAAAATGTCAGTCGCTCAATATGCGAACCGTTTTGAAGCTCTTTCACGGTACGCTTCAGCCATAGTAGCAAATGAAGAGGATAAGGTTAGGCGATTCGAATGGGGCTTGGACACAGACATTAGAGGAAGATTGATCGCAGTGCAACTCTCCACCTATGCCCAGATGGTGGATCGAGCTTTAATTGTGGAACGAGAGTTAGCAGATTCCGAACGCATTCGAAATCAGCGATCAAGGAACAACAACCAACCACGCGGAGGAGGCCCAGTCCGCAACACCAGAAACCATCCTGCACCAGCACCCTATGCCGAAGGAATGCAACAGCAACGAAGGCAGAATCGAGGAAACCAGCAAGGAGGAAAATTTGTAAGTGAGTGGAAAGGAAGATGTTTCGGATGTGGTCAACAGGGGCATCGTCGAAGTGAGTGTCCTCAAGGTGGGAAGTATTTTATGGATCAGCGAGGGGCACAACCATACCACAAATGCCAACCAGGGCAAGGTTCTAAGCCTACTCAACATGCCCAGACCAACAAGGGGCAGCCTCAAGCCTCTAAGAATGCAGGCCGACCAAGAACACAACCATAAGGAGCTGGAAATGGAAAGAGACCGGGAGAGACTAACCAACAGGCAGTAGGAAGAATGTATGCTCTCCAAGAAGAAGAAGATGTTGATAACCCATCAGTAATTCAAGGTATGTTAATCCTTATGAATTCTTGGGTTAAAGTATTGTTTGATTCTGGGGCTTCGCATTTTTTTATATCCACTGCATGTATGACAAGTTTGGGTTTAAAGCCAGAGCCGCTAGAGATAGCTATGAGTGTTGCTTCACCCTTAGGAGGTCAAACCCGAGTAAATCTAGTATGTAAATCTTGTGAGCTATAAATCTTAAAAAAAAAAAAAAAAAAAGACAAAACTGTGGGCAACCCACAGTTCTTTGGCATGGCACACCAAACCCACCATTCCATCACTTCATCATTCCATTTACTTTTGATTTTTTTAATCTTTTCTTTCTCTCCTTTATTCCTCTATAAATCAACAGAGTGAGAGGAGCTCCTCACAATCCTTCCTTCATTCAGCTCTCTCCTCTCATAAATTGTGTAGAGTAGAAATATTAAGTTTAGATATGAGAGTTAGTAATTTTACAAGAGATCAGAATTATTTTTAGAGATTCATGGAGCAATTTTAGATTTATAGTGATGTAATTAATTATTTTGAGGTAAATTCGGGTTGTATACAATATGCTCTATTTAAATATCTTTGCAAAGAGTTCTCTTATTTTAAATTATCCTCAATTTGTAATCTATTTGATTATTGTGGTAAAATCATTTGTTGTCGAATCGTTGATATTCTGATCATTTGGTAAAATTCTCTACAAATATTTCAGTATTAAAATGGTGATTTGTCTGACTGAATGACATGGAAATACTCCATACATGGATCAAGTGAATCTTATTAATTGTTTACACCAATATGCCCGGATAAGCATGAAGCTTGGGTGAGGTAGGTGAATAAATAAATTTATTCACTGGCCATGTACTGAGTAGGACCGAGTATTTGGTACTAGATAAATTATAGTTGATTTGTTGTGCAATTTGGTAAATTGTTTGATTATCGTATCATTGATTTAATGTCATAAATTGTTGGATTCCTGTTAATTTATTCTGTATCCGAGCCTTGTTTTCTTGTCGTATTGTATACTTCCCGAATTAATTTATTTTTCAGGTGCGGAGCAGATTTTAGTGGAGCTCAAAATTGAGATTAAAAAGATTTATTAATATAGAGATTTGGGACCCACCACTGTAATTATTAAATTTGGAGATAGATGTAACATTGTTTATTTCGGAGATAATTGTGCTATAGAATATTTGGAGGATATTATACTATTTGGAGACGATTTTGTAGTTATTATTTTTGGAAGCAAAACTTGTATTTTTTTTTAAGGCTATCTTAGTGTATTTAATGACCCGAGAGTGGGGCGTCACACACATCTCTCACTCTTTCTTGGTTTGCTTTATCTCTCTCTCTCTCTCTCTCTTTCATTTTAACTCTCCCCTCATCCTCTCAATTTATACACTGAAGATGGAGGTGGAGAGGTTGGCTGGCCTTGCACATGGCCAGTTGTTCCTTCACAAAAGTGGCCGTCTACTTTTGTTGCAAATCATTTTTATATCAGAGTGTGTAGTGGAACCGTGTTATTTGGAGTTTTAGTTGAGATTAAATTTTAGAGTATTACGGATTGGAATTTCGAGGACGAAATTATTTTTAAGGGAGATAGATTGTTACACCCCGTATTTTTGAAATATTAATATTTCGTGAGTGGTATTGGTGGTTTATTATGATAATTTAAGAGTAAGATTTTTAGATAAGAATCTAATTTTAAATTATTTATTTGTATTTATCTCATCCCTTTTATATCTATCATATTGTTATTTAAAAAAAAAAAAAAAATTTGGGGCGTCTCAGTTTGGTATCAGAGCCTAGGTTTGAACCTTTGGGCCATGGGTAGAAGTTTGTTTTTAAAAAAAAAAGAAAAAAAAAAAAGAAGACAAAACCGTGGACAACCCACAGTTCTTTGGCATGGCACACCAAACCCACCATTCCATTTATTTTTGATTTTTTTAATCTTTTCTTTCTCTCCTTTACTCCTCTATAAATCAGCAGAGTGAGAGGAGCTCCTCACAATCCTTCCTTCATTCAGCTCTTCCCTCTCATAAATTGTGTAGAGTAGAAATATTAAATTTAGATATAAGAGTATTTAGAGTGAAAATGAGTATTTTATAAAATAAATAAATAAGTTGGGAGTTGTAGATTTTATTAGATTATACATACTTTATGCCTTAGAAGTTTAATCAGAGTTATTTTTGGAGATCCATGGAGCAATTTCAGATTTATGGTGACGAAGTCAATTATTTTGAGGTAAATTCGGGTTGTATACAATATGCTCTATTTAAATCTCTTTGCAAAGAGTTCTCTTATTTTAAATTATCCTCAATTTGTAATCTATTTGATTATTGTGGTAAAATCATTTGTTGTCGAATCGTTGATATTCTGATCATTTGGTAAAATTTTTTACAAATATTTCAATATTAAAATGGTGATTTGTCTGACTAAATGACATGGAAATACTCTGTACATGGATCAAGTGAATCTTATTAATTGTTTACACCAATATGCCCGGATAAGCATGGAGCTTGGGTGAGGTGGGTGAATAAATAAATTTATTCACTGGCTATGTACTGAGTAGGACCGAGTATTTGGTCCTAGATAAATTATAGTTGATTTGTTGTGCAATTTGGTAAATTGTTTGATTATCGTATCATTGATTTAATGTCATAAATTGTTGGATTCCTGTTAATTTATTCTGTATCCGAGCCTTGTATTCTTGTCGTATTGTATACTTTCCGAATTAATTTATTTTTCAGGTGCGGAGCAGATTTTAGTGGAGCTCAAAATTGAGATTAAAAAGATTTATTAATATAGAGATTTGGGACCCACCACTGTAATTATTAAATTTGGAGATAGATGTAACATTGTTTATTTTGGAGATAATTGTGCTATAGAATATTTAGAGGATATTGTACCATTTGGAGACGATTTTGTAGTTATTATTTTTTGGAGCAAAACTTATTTTTTTTTTTTAAGGCTATCTTAGTGTATTTAACGACCCGGGAGTGGGGTGTCACACAAATATACATCATTTTTAACTAAATAGTCCATAGACTATTTATTTACGATTAGCAATCTATTGTGTTGTAGCTCACTCTTATTCAATCTGTCCAAACAAACACCCTCGTAGGGTTTATTTGATGAAGGGAATTTGGAAGAGTTGGAACAAGTTTATTTGAAGAACGTTGTAGAGAACTTTGAGAAATGATTTTTTGACAAAATCTTGAGAATGTTTGAGAGGTATTGCAGGGTCTTAGCCAAAGGTTAATTATTTTCAATAATGAGTCTCTATTTATAAGTTCAAGAGAGAGAGATGTTAATTTTGGAAACTCAAAAATTTAATTTTAATTTCTAAGAAAAGAGAAATTTGTTTATCAATAATAAGAATAATTTGTATTGAAATTTGAATTTGAATTTAAATCACTTCACTAAATTTTGATAAAATGTCTTCATGAGTCCCATGCCTTCAGATTAAATTAATTTGTTGAAATGAGTTAATACTTTTTTTTTGTGTGATTCATATTTTAAAATGGATTATGTAATGTGATATTCATTTAAAGATTTTGCCTAATCAACAAAAAAAAATTATTTGTTTTAATTAATGAGACAATAATTGAGACATGTAAAAATAATGTCTATGAATCAAGTGATAATGGGTGTGAAGTATTAGTCCTTAACCATCAAATACTCTCGTCATATCCAAATGTTGCTTTTCACTTAGGGTGTGTTTGATTGGGGGATAGGGGGGCGAGGGATTATTTATTGTGTGGATTATAATTCGCACAGTAAATCCAATTTAATGTTTGTTTTTTTTTTAGTCTGCCGGACATAGAGTCTGGCCGAACTCCTTATCCCCCATATGGGAGATTATATTATCCTGGGGGTGTGGGATAATTTTGGGGGGATTATTTACTGTTGGGATTAGGTGGTGAAATGACCATTTTGACCCTCTACTATTTAATTATGTATTATATTTAATAAAATTTAAATGTCTCAATTTAAAAATAAAATAATTTTATTTAACTTTTTATTGATGTTTTATTTATTTATTTTTAAATAATTTTTTATAGATATTTTATTGATGTTTTATTTTAAAATTTTGTTTATATTTTATTTAATTTCATTATTTATTATTATTTTTAAAAACAAATTTATTTAAAATTTTAATTAAAAAAATAATATAAATTTTTATTGATATTTTATTTATTTATTTAAAAAAATAAATTTATTTAATTGTGTAAAAAATAAAATAAAATAAATTTTTATTTAATCTAGTTAAAAATAATTAAAATATTAAAGATATGTTTAATATCGCTATTATTTAGTAAACAATTGAAAAAGGGTAAAATAATCTTTTGTTCATTTATCCTATCCAATCCGTCTAACTAAACGTTGGATTCACTAAAAATAGTCCTTTCCAGACATTTAATCTCATGAAAAAACAAACACAGCATACATATTCAATCCAACCAAATAATCCGAAAGATTTACAGTCTCAAGATTTAAATCTGATAAATTTTAATTCTCTCTTATTCAATTCGTCCAATCAAACACACCCTTAACTGCCGACATTGGCAGTTATCTAGAGGCCGACCCGTGGGAATAAAAAATGTGAACATTGGAAGGCCTGGACTTTAGTTGGGGCAATTACGAGCCCATTATGGACCATATTTATTTATCAATAATTACTGTTCTAGCTCTCAATAATAAATATTATAAGGAAAAATTGCCTAAAAAGTATGTTTTTTTTTTTTTTTAAGATTGCGCCTAAAAAGTATGTTAAAAGAATAATTGCAAAATAAGGGGGAATTAGTAATTGCAATAGTGATACATACCGTTAAAATTAGAGTCTTAATTGAGCTCTAATGAGATAAAAAGTCAAAAAAACAAAAGAAAAGAGTAAATTATAAATACACGTT